TCCAGTTAATACGCTATTTATCTTCTACAAAAGTAGTATTTTATAGTCTAGGAAAGTACGTATCAGATGTGAAATATTATAAGTTTTTAATACAATACTGATATAATTTTACTAATAATTGGGACAGATAATGTGCGCTAACTATATAACCACATGTAAAGCCAGCTTACATCAACATGAATGAGACTTTCATTGCTCAAACTTCGATAAAGGAAATATTGGTCATCTACACTTAAGAAATGATCTCCTGAAATACAACATGGTTGGCTGTTACAGAGACTTGATCTTTTTTGGTTCATGCTAACTTCACCTTCGACAAATCTTTTCAAGAACGATTCCCCCGAGGTCGATATAAGTCGTTGGCTCTGTCTTTCAATCCCGTTTTGGAGTCTATTTTCATCACGTATTACCTACCAATTTGAAGTAAAAACAAGTAAACAAAAAAATATGTAGTAATTTTTGTGTGCTAAAATGATAAGAAATTTGGAGACAACTATAAACAGTTATTTGAATTATCTTTTTTTTTTATAAATAATTTATGAAATTCCCCCTTCTTCTAAAGATGTAATGCCACATACGTGGATTGCTGTTTTCTATAAACATCACTATAAACCATTTTCAGTAGACTACCATAACTATTTAAATATTCTCGCTAGCTTCCCGAGTTAGTAAGCATAAAGGTACTGATCGAAATTAATTGTGAAACAGTTTTTTGGAAAACTATTGCAAAGTCATTTTAAGGATCAGGATCTAAACAAAAACAAGACAGTTTGCCCCTAAAGAAGAAAAATCCACCATTCGAAAGCGCTCGGGTTATAGGTTTTTATCCATTTCTACCAAGACTTCTTGAACCTACGTGTTTTTCTAACATCGTGAAATAAGCGATTTTAAGCCAAATTTCACTCTTCTTGCATAAAGACTTTATTAAAAAATAAAAAAGGGAATTATCACGGAAATGAGTCATTATTATAATAATATTTTTGCAGAAACGCTTGCACTATATATAGCTATAAGAAATTATGGTTATAGTTACCTGTTAGCAGAGTTTTTAGCACCGGAGTCCTGCATAGCACGTTGTTAGTGCTGAGCTTAGATATGATGGTCCCTAATATCAAGCCACTGATCGCAAGGAGGCAGCCGGTAGCTAGCAGCCTCTGCTATTTTGTATTTGTACATATATATACATATATTATCTAGTTATTTATTTAGCAATTTATTTTAATTTATTCAATTATTTATTGCTATTATGTATCTGTAATTTTCACACTAAGTTCCCAATGTAAATAAGAAGATATTGTGCTTTTAGTATAAAGAAGTGGAGTTTAAGACACAAATGCCTGTTCGACACTACAACAACAGAACAAACAAATCAAAGCCTATCTTAGCATTAACGATCTGGTATATAATTTTAAAAAAACAAGTAAATTAATTCAAGTTGATATTAAGAAACGAGTATTCCATTGGATGATTAATATTAATATCGCGATCATCTTTGAAGTAGAAGTGTGTTTTTAAGCAATCAAATTTCGACGTTTCAGTAGTTTTAATTGATTAAAAACATTTCTACTTTAAAGCTGATCAATGTATTAAATTTAATCCAGGTTAACTATTGTATTCCCAAAATCACTCGAAATTAATTTGAATATTATGAGAAATTAAAAACATTATTAATTAATTAAAAATTAAATTCTGAGAGATTATCTTTCAATCGTCTTTAGTATCTGAGCGCAGGATTATTTGTTTATTATTAAACATAAAGCTACAGAATGGGCTATCTGTGTTATACCCACCACGGGTATTGGAAGCTGGTTTTTTAATGTTATAAGTCTTCAGACTTACTGCTGTGCCACTGGGTGGCAAGTGTAGGTTATCTAGTATAGAGGTGATACTTATTTTATACAAATAATTTTGTTTTATGTAATATTGTGTTGAAATAGCTAGTAGTTTATTGAAATAAAAGTGTTCATATAATTGTATAATAAAATGAATGTTTTTATACATGCATGACTTTGGTAATCTTTGAAACATATTTTTATGAATCTGCAAGAATTACAGTCCTATTTTTCATAAGAAAGATGCAAAATTGCTTACATAAACTGATGTTTTACGTCGTTCGTTGTTTTCCAAAGCGATAATCAATTATATCCTGAACATAAGGGCATAATAATAAGGTGTATGTATGTGTGTTTTATAACAAAGTCACATCAGACTATCTGCTGTGTCCACCGAGAGAAGTAGAACTCCTGATTTTTGTGTTGTAAATCTGTAGACTTACTGCTGTTCCACCTTGGGACTAATAATAAGGCTGATTTCTGAAACTGAGCGGTAAATTTAGAAGTCAAAAAAAGTTGAACGCTTCTGAAAATAGAAGCTGTCACTTTCGATATGTTTTTTCAGTTATCATATGCATTTATCTGTAGTAAGTACATTAAAACTGAAAAAAAAAATCGAATGATCAATGAATAAATTTTTTAAGTTTGCCAGATTGTATTTATTATACTCTGATAAGGTGAAAAAATGGTTAATACGTAACACTACATTAAATCTGTGACTGTAGAAATCTATTCTCGTGAACAGATGCGTGAAAAGCGATTTAATTAAAGAATTAATTTATGTTGAATAGAAAATAAAACTTCATGTAAATACATAAAACAACAAGAAACAAACATCGAATAATTTTTATAATCAGTAGTAAAAAAAAGTTTGAACTCTAACTTATGTATATATAGCTATTTAATTACTTAAACTATGCATGTATTGATTTACCAATGGGTCACTTGAGGCTTTAGGTCTGTTGATTGAGCAACATGGTCTTTGGAGTTGTTCACTTTTCCAACTCATCGTCTGTACTACAAGAAATATATGATTAAAACAGCCCATACAAGATAAATCATGGTTTATTGTTGTTTATCATTTGATAACTTTCGAACAAAGTTTAATACAGAGATTATTGGATTGCTTTCTTCCGAGAATGTGGGAATTTATATTTTAAGCCAAACAAGTAAAGCAATATATCTATACACACATACAAACGAGCATTCAGAAATTAAAATTTTGTAATTATTTACTACTTCAGACATAAGCTAATAGCGTTTTCCAGCTGTGGTTTATAGTAAATAGCTTTATCTATATGTGCTAAGTCTGACTTTGTACGCTCATAACATATACATTAACAGCGATAAAGCCTGATAAAATGATTTTTCATACTTTTTGTGACGTAACAAATCCCTTAATGGATTTAATTGTTTCTCGTTGTTTGTTTGTTTTTTATCTCGAAGCGACGTACCGGAATTTCTTATCTGAATATTATGTTAAGATACAGTGGTGTAGGGAGTGTATGTGTGTTGGTCGGTGGGGGAGGGGGGCGCCCTAACTTTTCAAGCTGTCCTGGTTAAAATGCATAAAAATTAGGAAAAGTACTCTCAGGAAAAGTAAGCGAATGCATAAAATTCGATCCAGAGTCCAAGAGATTTCGGGTCTATCAGTCGAGCTCTGGATCCATGACGTAATGGTTGAGCCTGTGACACATATTCCCTCGGTCAAATAAACGTTAGGTACTCCACTATTAATTTGCCTCCTACACCTCTGCAAGTAGTAGGATTGAACTAAGAGATGAGCAGCTGAGTTATTTGACACTCAACACAAAAGAATAGATACTTCAGATTTCTCTGTCCACAAAAATTTTGTTTTTTTCTCTTTAAAATTCATTTAGTCAAAATATATAAAACATGCTTATATGCACCTTTTACTAGAGTTGAAAAAAAATACGGGTAAACGAGTTACAAATAAAATCGCTGGTTAATTTTTACTTGTAAAAATATCACAACAAGAATAATTAATCCCATCCATATTCACAGACACAATCCAATTGGCCAACACTCGATCATTACGTAAATGAAAATAAGAGTAATGTTGGGCATAAAGCTTTTCCACTTATCACATGAAGCTAGATTCATTTCGGATTTAAACACAAGCACACATACAGAATACATCCACTGTTTGTATGACTGTATTGAAGTTAAGAACTAGATGTAAACCCCGAGTTGTTTTACAGTTACTGTTTTAACTTCATAGTGTGTCCCTTGGTGGAACAGGGCTAAGTTTACAAACTTACAACGCTAAACTCTGGGGGTTCGACTCCCCGCGGTAGACACAGTCGATAGCTCAATGTGGCTTTGTTCTGAAATAAACAATACTTTGTTGTGTTAGTAATTTTATACTAAAATTTGGTACAGTTCTTAACAGATCTAATGTTAATGTTTACGAAACTATGAAATATGTTAAATTATGAAAATATAACGATATTGAGTAACGAACAAGACATACACGAAAGAAAAATTAAAGAAGCATAATAGATAAAATTACATAAACCAAACTTAAATAATTATAAAAGATGTTTCCTTTACCAAACGCTCATTATCATGCTTGCCTTTTCATTCTTTTGGTGGAATCACAATGACGAAACGTTGGTTGAAATAAAAAGCTTTTATTATTATTATTATTTGGAGAGTAATGGTCGTTTTAATCTAACTTTATTGTCAAAATGTCTAAATCCCCGGTGGACAGAGTGCATATACCACATTGTGTAGCTTTGTACAAAGATAGCAACAACAACCTAATTATTCTTTCACCAACTGAGGAGTCTTTGTAAAAGACGTGAAATATCTTGGTATAGGATTTCTTTTTACATTGTCCGAGGGAAGTTGAAGTTTTGAGAAGTACTCGGGTTTCTTCTTGAAATGTATTCAATTTTCTCCACTTATTTAATGCATATTTTAGCCACAAACAAAGTACATATAAATATAAAAACTTGTTATAGAATACAAATAATTGTTATAAATCCAACTGAAAATCCAATATACTAAAATAGATTGTTTTGATTGGTATCAATTATTCTAGCTAAACACTGACTAAATGTTATATTTGTTTACATCTCAATAGTAGTAATAATTGTATTTGATCATACAGTTTGGTTACTGCCAGATGCCACTACGTGCAAGAAGTTAGATGTCTTTTTGCTGGAAAGGGACTAGAACGTCTTCACTCACTGCTGCGGTAGATTACTTAATACGAAGTTAGAAGTTGTTTCACAATCACAGTTAAATTAATATAATTATTGAAAAAAAACTTTAAACACCGTGTGGTGTCCGCGCATAATGTCACTTTTTAGAAACTTGGTATGGTTTGCTAAAGGCATGCGGGAGTATACAAAGTAAGTTTGGTCTAACTTCTAAGCATTAAACTTAGTTAAAGTAAATTAACTGTAAATGTAATTGGAAAGTAAAGTTTCTAACTTAATATAACTATAAGAAGTTAACGTCTTTTGTTTTATCGTTATTAATATTATAAAATATTTCTTGAGAAAAAATGTTTTTCGTTAAATTTTTAGTTTCATGTTCACCCAGTTAAAGTTTTACTTTTAGGTCTACAGAACTTGGATCTGTAAAAATTTAGCTTTGGAAGTGGATCAGCATTTAATTTTTCTCACTTTAACCTGATAAAAATAAAAAAAAAAGCAGACCCGTAGTCTGAATTTTAGCGCCACTTAATCATTTTCTTAACAGCTTTGTTTTTCAAGCTTTTGAAGTTTTAATTTTATGAAGTTTGGGTTATGATATATTTTCCCTTTAAATTTAAAGTTCTGTTACAAATTATGATTTTGAAGATGCATTGAAGCTGTTGCAGTTTGAAATTGTAATGTAGTTTGTGGTTACTGACTCAAGCTTAAATTGTATGTAGTTAAGAAGTATTAGTTAGAAATTTTTTTCATCATCATTAGAAATGCAGTGGATTATGTGGAATAAAGTATGAAGTATGAACTATGTATAAACATTTACAGACTTAAATTATTTTACAGGTGATTGTATTATTTGAATATAAGAATCTATAATTTTGTACATGAGTTTAGTAAAATCAAAGTAGTGGTAATAACTTCATTGTTTGAATAATTATATAAGTTGTCATACTTTGTACAGCAAGACTGATAATGTCACTAGTTTCTCTACAGAAATTTTAAAATGTTATTACACAAATTTATTACAGAGAAGAAGAAAACATATAGTACAATCAGGTGCCAGTCATATATATAATAGAAGTTCTTATTCACTCAGTGTTCTGTATGAAGTTGTACATTCTGACTCAGAAAATAGGCACATAATAAATTTTCTTTATATCAAACAACAATGTTGAAATGAATGAGGATAAAATTAATGTGTGTAAATTAAAATTGTTAAAGATATATTTTTGTTATATCTTACCATTTCTTAAAAAATAAACTTCATAAAATGTCCTTGGGCTAAACAAATTTCTGTAACTTACTCTCTAAAGATAAAGTAAGCTCAGGTTGCAATTATACCCACCTAAACCATTTTTCAACTCACTGAAAAAAAAAGCAGTTAAACCAAATTCAAAATAGCATTTCACTTCCATGTGTATATGCATTACTATCATCCAAAAATTTAATCTAGCAGTTCATGTATTATTCAAAAATTTATCAAAGAAAGAGAGAGAATTACAGCAATCAACATGTCTTTAAGGCTACCTGCTAATATTTGGGTTCACATTTTTTAAAGTTATTTCTAGTTCTCAAACAACCTACTCACTGGAAAAGGCATAAACATGTTTTAAGTAAATTATTTTTTTTTAACCTATATGTGCTCAATTCAACATGTTTATATTCTTCCTGCACAAAAAGGAGGGACCAAAACTGCATATGGTACTTAAATAAAAATTCATCAAAGTATTATACAAGAAAGCAATAACTTTCTTACTTATAAATTCAAAATTTCTATAAATAGGTACGAGAAGATTATTAGATCATTACTTTATGGCTAAGTACTTAGCTGAAGGTTTCATGCTTTTGTCAAAAAACAAACCCTCTTTCACCAATATGTTTCTCATGTTAAAAATAATTAAATGTCTTTCAAGAAGTTGTTAAATTTTCAAAAATAGTTATTGAACAAGAGACCCAAAATAGACCCACGAGAGAAACTACTATCTACATACCTTCTTCCAATGAAAAAAACTGTATTTACCACTTTCTTATACTTTTTTAAACATTTCCTAACTTTTCCACAAATTCAGCAAATAAATAACTTTTAAGTTGAACCTTATCAAAGGTTTTCAGAAATCATGTTGTACAACACTAGGTACTCTACCCTTAGAAGTAGAAGCCTGGTAAAAAAAAAGAAAAAATTCCAGTAATTTTTATACCACCCTGTTTATTCAATTCTACGTATGAATATTTTTTTTTTCTGTAGCCTGTAATGTGAACAACCCCAGAAATTAGGAATTTTGCTTGAGAATAATTGTACATGTAGGTTTTTTAGCTCTTTTTAAAAGAAAAAAGTTGTACTTTTTGTAGTGCTTTAGTATTTTTTAACCATGTCTATAACCATGCACTGTAAAGACAAAGCACAAGTCAAGAAGTATACTGAAAGAGGCCTACATGAGCCATACAGTATTATATATATATATATATGCTGTAATTATAGCCCCTTTATATTTACTCTCAAAATTATATAATAGCACTTTGTAAGACCATATTTCTGTTCTTAATCATATTTATATAATGAGGTTTTGGTTTTTTTTCTCTCAGGTTTACTAGAAACAAATTGATTCCTTTTAAATAACAAAAGCTCATGATTTTATTTGATATTTCACAAGATTTTGGTGTATATATATATATATATGTATATATGCTCTCATATCACCACCTTATCATATAATGCATCTGTTACAGGAGTGGTTACCAATCAGCAAGCAAAAGTTTTAATTCCCTAGATCTAGAGGTGCCATGTAATGGGAAGGTATACATGGTGACAGGAGCAAATAGTGGTATTGGAAAAGTTATTGCACAAGAAGTAGCTAAGAAGGGTAAGTTCACTTTTTTGTTTTGATTATGGTTAATTATTTGAAACCAGAGCTTTATGGTATTTTTAAATATAACAAAATATGTAGGTTGGGAAAAATATTTTTAGGTGTATTATTGGAACGGCACACATTATCAAAAGAACTGTAGGGTGTATGTGAGGGTTGATATATGCTGAGACTGTCTTTTAGGAAACTTAGTATATATTACTTATTTATGTTCAATATATATCTTTTTGAAATAATCTGAAAGTCAAGATAAAACTAATTCCTGTTACTCCTTTTCATCATCATATGCATGGGGACATTTTCCAGAACAAGATCTTCTTTCATCCAATAGTTTTTCTCCTTGTACCAATCCATGCTCGGGATAATAACAGCCAACATTCACTATTCAACATCATCTTTCTGTCGTCAACATTTCTGTTGGATCTTGTTTCTTATGTCAGCTTCTATACTGGTACTTGTTACATTTTTTTTCCCCACCTTGGAACCTTTCTTTTGGTCATAAAGTCTTTTTATTCAACTTCATGAGTGTTATATCCCAGGTGTTACAAATGTCCTGGAAAATAATTTCTCCTTCATAGAATAGGTTCTATTGCAAAGTAGTCTCTCTTCCCTCTAGTATTTTAGTGGTTTTGTGATTGCTTCAGCATTCTATGATCAGTGCATGTGTAACATCTTTCAATCACAAGCTTTTTCTTCTTTTGTTTCCTATTCATGTCCTTCTGTCTCTTGAAGTTGATACCTTTAGTTAAGATTAGTTGCATTACTACCTTTATGAATAATCTCCCTTATGTCTGTTTTTGAGGACTGTTGCTAAGATCAGACACCCATCTTATGATATTTTTTTGATATCTCCATTAATGTAATAGTCCCCCCTCCCCTTCATGTACAAACAATTTCATTTTCAGTGTGAGTGTTCTGCATGTAGCTGTTATATTTACAAGTAAGATAACATATTTCACTTGAATATTTTTAAAATTAGTTTCAGACAGGTACTCCTTCTCCCTCCTTCACATGTGATTTGTTGTTCAGTGGAAAGATGATCTTGGATAGTGGGTGTTGACTAGTATCATTCAGAACTTGTTCTGATATGACATGGAAAGCTATTGAGTAAAGGAAGGTTTTATTGTGAAAATGACATTACAATATGAAGAATAGGAGTGGCAGGAATTACGCTTATTATGGCAGTTAGGTTGTCATAAAAAGATTATAAATGTTGATAGGTAAGTGCCTGTTTCAAATTTATTTTAATTATGAAATTTTTATATTTGAGTAAATTGTGTAATAATTTAAAGTCTATTGTACTAGAAGTAGTAAAAGATGGAAAGTGAAAGTTAACATTAGTTATGAACATCTTGTGTTAAACTAATCTCTTTTGTTCTTTCAGTTGAATCTTAAGTCATCAGAGCACATTAAGATATGTAGTGGTTGTTGATATTTTAACTAGCTGGTCCTCAGTTGGAAAAAGGTTGGGAACCATTGCTGTGGATTATCTGTGATGCTAATAGAAATTTCCACATACCAGGGTTGCGGGATTAATTTGTATGCCATGTGGATGTTAAAAATTGGTTCAGGGTTGAAGATTAGTTAATCAGATTCATGAAAGAGGGCTATAGGTTGCTCACTTCTAAGGTTATACACCCCCACACACACTGCCATCTTCACTTTCTTGATACTCATCTGCCATGAATGGGGGAGGGGATTTTACATCACTTCTACAGAAGAGTTGAATACATCTGCAACAGTGATGACTAAAATAACTGAATGTCAACACATCATATAGACCTTTAAAAGTTTACTTGACCTGTTTCATTTTTAACTCTTACCAACTTTAGATGACTCATAGACACCAATAGTAACTAACCAGTCACTATTATTTACCTTCCATATATCTGTAATTTGAGTGAAAGTTGAAATGTACAGCCTTAAAGTTCAGTCCTAGTATATGCTAACTCTAAACTCTACATAAGCAAAACCAGGAGTACTATTCAACTACATTCATCCCCCCCACCAAAAAAAAGCTAGACATGCTGGCCCCTCTAAAAATCTACTAGACATGCTGTCCCGACTGGAAAATCAAGTAAACAAATACTTTCTACGTATTAAACTTTTATTGAAGAAGAATACATATTTAGACAAGCTGTACTCCAACTAATAAATTTGTTAATAACTTTTGACAAATCCAATTCATCCACATTGTTCTTCAGGATATAGAGACAAACAAGATGATTCATGCGAAACTGTGACATGGTGAGGTGCAAGTAACTTTTCAGCTTCCTTTGGGAAGAAAATTGTCTTTCAGTAGTACATGTAGTCACTGGAGCCACCATATAGATTTTGAGCATGGTGAACACTGATGGACAAACATCCTTCAAAACAGGCTTTTTGTGCATAGCTTCACAAAAAATAATGTATGGAAAGTTCTTGGTGATGACACTGTGCACTTGTTCAATTTCATATTTCACACAGTCCTTTGATTTTAATATCAGTTGCATATTGCTTGCATAGAGATTTCTCGATTGCTGCTAGTTTATGCAAATCATCTGTAGGATATCTCGCAGAAACTGATTCAACAGCAGCTGTAAATACTGATTGGTACATACTTTCCTATTCAGCCTCTACAGAAGGGACATCATTCATTGTAAAAGCTTCGTATGATGCCTTTCTACAAGGGGGTATTTAATAAATGAATGCGCCTATCTGTCATAGAACTTCCTGTGATTCCACCAAGTACAAATGAGAACTTACAGTATCTTGAACTATCAAATTCAGTTCATGACCAGAACAGTAGCTGAAGGTGCATTTTAGATATTCTTTTAAAATTTGTGTTGCTACTCCACTTTTTTAATCTTTCATTATACCGGCTCCATCATAACTCTATGCATGAGCTTGATTAATATCTAATTAATATGATAATAGTTCTTATTTGATTGTATTTGTAATGTTTTCAGCTGTCGCATTACTGAGAACAGAGAATGCTATCCATTTCTCATATACATTTAAGTCATCATCGACATATCTCACACACGAGCTTAATTGCAGAGTCACAAAATGATGCCATAAAAACTGTTGTTGTAAACAGCTTCCACAGCATTATGGAGTACATTATTAGCTCTGATTTCCATGATTTCATTCTGTGAAACCCAACTGCAGTATTATTATAGACATATGAAGAAAACTATGTATTAAACTGGGGCTGTGCTTTAATATCAGCTTCAACAATCCCATAAAGTTACCTTCATGAGCCTCAGTGCCCCTGTATGCCAAACCTTACTTTCCCAAATATATAATAGCATCAAAAATAACCTCAAATGCTTTCCTATTTGCCTTCTGTCTTTCAACTTCCTTGCTGCTAACATACTTTGCAGTTGTGTTTTGTGTTTTGATACTGATTTTTGTAGTTGTGCATTCTCCATGAATCTGACTTCTGTCATGCTTTTGTAGACCATCCTTGCCCTTTCTAAAATCATTCCATCCTATTATCCATGGAGATGTGGAAACTGAGGAATGCTGGGAAGAGGGTTAAGTTTGCACACTAAGGGTTCGTGATCAGACTAATCTTAAGCCAATCAAGAGAAGTTGTTATACAAATATCTAAGGTACTCAGGAAAAAGATATTTACAATTTTCTCATAAACTAGACCACCAAGGCACAGATAAGTATTATTTCCAGTGGTATATAAAACTCTGTTTAAAATTACTCGCATTTGTGCATTGGCAATATTTTCCCTTGCTCTTATGAAGAAATTTTAGGGGTCCTCCCCCCAGGTATAGAAAAAGTTTGGTGGCTATGACTCAACCACTGTGTGAAGCCTTGTCTTATTCCTTCAATTTGTCCTTGTCCAAGGTTACTGATGAGGAGTGAACATTCTCCTAAACTGTCATAACTCAGTGACAAGTTGTAACTCAAATGGTAGATTGTGTTTCACATTTATTTTTTAATGTTATTTTATGTTTAAAAGGTGAACACCATTTATGTTGTTACTTATACATGAAAAAAATCAAACCATAGTTAACTAATGGTTAGAGTAAACATAATTATAATTATTGTTTTTGCTAGGTGGTACTGTTCACATGGTGTGTAGGAATAAGGAGAGGGCAGTGGCAGCAAAACAAGAGATAATTGAGAACACTGGCAATGAGGTAGTTGATATTCTGGATATTCATTATTGTTTATAATCTAGTGACATTTATTTTATGTTGAAATTTGTAATATTCATTATTTAAGCAACCAAAAATAGTGTAATTACTTTTGTTGTAAGAAAATGAAGACATTTTTTACTGAACATGTATAATACTAATGCTTTTAAAAAAAATCTAATTTCATATTGGATGTTTTGTTACTGGGAGAAAATATTCATCTTAGATCATAAGTAGGTTGAACACATCTCATTGGTTAGGGACAATACATTTTGGATTTGAGGCTCTGTGGTTCACGTCCTGTCACTGTGAAAAGAAACACACAAATTATATTCCACACTTTGGGTATGTTGAGTGCATTATAAAAGTGATGATAAAATCCCACTGTTTGGTGGGATTAGAGTAATCCAAGAGTTGATGGTTTGTGGTGTTGACCAGCTGCCTTCCCTCTAGTCAATTACCACAAAATTGAGGACCACTATCACAAACAGCCCTCTTGTAGCTTTGTGCAAAATTCTACAAACAAACGAGTCATAAATAAATGAGAACCTTGAACAAGGAAAAAGAAGGTCATTTGACTCATCACTCGTTAGAACAATGAACCAAAATATCAAAGTCAAATTGAGTATAGGTTTTCATATCTATTTATCCAATAAACAGATGTATAAAATAATTCGAACTAGTGGCACACATCATCGAGTAAAGTAGTCAGCAAGTTTTTAATCTAACCATAAAATAATTTTGTGTAAGAACAAGTGTGTATCTAGACTTCCAAAGTTTTAACCTACCATCCTCTAATTTTAAGTTTGTGTCTCTAATCTTATTTTACCACTTAAACACACTGCCTAAACCGTTTAGAAGACTCTCCAAGTCCCTAACAGATTCACCCTTTGAACTTGGATAAGTCAAAGTGTTTGTCATGACAACAGTGTTTGAATTATTCGGTCTACAGACTCATTTTTACTATTACTGAGTTCATATAAACTATATAAATGAATTATTTTAAAGCACTTCTGTCTTAATTACAAAGCCAGTTAAATTATAATAATTATATGACATTTTATTCTTTGTGCATGTTATTATTTTGTGTTCTTAATTGCTTATGTAAATAAATACAAATTATTTTATGTACTTCTACCATTATTACAAAACAGGAGGATTCAGTTTTGTTAGATATAAGTATTATATCAGCCAGATATAAGTATTAAATTTATTGTTTTTCTGTGTATATTTTTATGTATTGTTTTTGAAGGTTAGATAAGAAAATTTAAATAGAAAGAAAGTTAAGTAAAAAATACATGATACATGCATGGTAGAAATAAGCATTATCTTTTGTTAAAATTAAATCAAGTCCAGAAGTACCAGTGAAAGGCCTTACAGTGGATACCTGGATCTTTTGCATATGCAACATTCCTATGTTATATAGATCAGTAAAACCACTGAATTAGATGTTTCCCCACACCAATAGAGAGCCCCCCCTCCCAAATCTACCATGTTTAGCAGACACATGCTCACGTGAAACATATACACAGTATTGCAACTACATGTACAGCCTGCATTACTTCAAATACATATTGGTACTTTTTTTCAGATTCCAAAACTATGGGCTTTTAATTTGTTTTATCCGATATGCAAAAACATTGAATTTTAAGTGTCAAAAAGTAAAAGCTCAGAATTTTGTAGGAAATGATGACAAGTTTCTCAACACATAATTATTCTACAAATTGACCACAGATTTTGAATTTAATATATTTTAAACACAAACTCATAAATTCTTTGTAGCTATTGATGTTTCTGTAAATCTGTAAATGCTGTTTATTTGTTTGTAAAGTTGTAAAAAAAATGCCATGGTTTTAAAACATCTATGCATATTAATTGACCAATAACTTGAATTCATTGAAGTTTTTGTTGTTAAATATCAATGTCAAAAATAGTTAAGATAGAATTGCCACTTTTTTTTGCATCTTGAGCTCCTTTTTCAATGTATTTAGTATATTGTGTTAACCTATTTAACTAAAAGTAATTGTTGCATAAGAATATTGATTAATATTTCTATTTATAAGAAGATCTTTACTTTTGCTCATTGTCTGGCCATTCATCAATAGTAAAATAGAGCAGGACTGAACTTTAATTTTATTCATGCATTATTTTGATAATTTAACAAATATAAGCATAGTAAGGAAACAATTAAATTTAATCTAAGTGAAATATATGGTAGATTAACTTGCTTTTAATGGAAGATAATATTAAATATTAATATTATATTTGACAGGTCAGAATGACTCAACTGCCAAAAATGCGTGGTTTGATTTTTGAGTGATGACCAATTGTTAGTTTATGTTTTGAGTATAGGAGTTTTTGCAGTTATCTTTTTTTATATAAAGTATTATAGTTAAGAGTTTGGAAATGTCATTAATAATTATTTCTCTCTCATTGATCTTAAAAATAAATAAAGAGCCTAAGCCTTTATTAAAATCCAAATACACAAAAGAAAGAAAGAAATTTCTTGATTTTATTGGTTACCATGACAACTTCACATGGGAATTCCCTGCTAGACTTTAATACAATCAGTTCTCAGGGGTATTGAACAGTAAGGAAAAATGAAAAACAAATGGTTGGCATATTTCAAGTCTCATCAACTTGTACTTTTTACATGCTAAAGTAAAAAAAAAGGAAGTTTAAAGAGCAGCATTATTGAAATTTAATTTTACATTACAAAAGCATTTATCAAACTTTTGTCATCCATGCCCCTTTATTAAATATGGGTTCTTGCACACCCACCTCTTTTTTTTTTTTAAATGAGTGAAACAGTGATTTAAATGAAAAGACATAATACACAGATATACATTAAAATGCTTTATGTGTTGTTATAATTAGTTATTATTTTTATTAATGAAAATTATATTAAAATGCATTATTGCATTATTGACTTTAACCTAATCACTTACGCCTCCCTGGGAGTGTGTGTGGCCCACACTTTGGGAAACAGTGCCTCAATAATTTTTTTTACATACATTAAATAATTTTTTTACCCCTGCTTTATTTTTTGAACAATGTATTATTAATGGTATTCACCAACAGAGGACACTTTCAATGGCCAAAAGCCTCCTCCTTTATTCTGGAAAGGTTAATCATTAAAAGATGAAATGATAACAAATATGCACAAAAATGTATGCAGTGTGTGTGTGTCAAAGGTTAGTTGTGTGGTGGGTGGTAAGTCTTGTATGTAGTACTCAACCGGTGTTGTCACTATTTTGCTAAAATGTAAATACAATGTAGACAAATTTAGTGGGACAATGTATCAGTTGGCTAAACAATTAATATTGATGTACCTATAATATTACACTGGTTTTAAGAACTAGGATTCTTATACTGATTTCTCAGTAATACTGCTTTCCACTGTTAATAAGGCTGGTTGAATAATATGTTAATATTTTATCAAAGTTATCAACGTTGTTTAGTATCTATATCACACTGATATGGACGGTGAATTTTCAAGTCTCCATTTCCATATTGTATTCTTTGAGAAACAGTCTAACATTTTCTAAACTTATCCCACTGGGGTATTATAACACTTCCTGAATGTTCTCACTGGTGTTATTTAACACTTCCTGCCTGAACTTATACCACTGGTGTAGTCTAACATTTCCCAAACTTTAATCAATAGTTTAGTTTGACACTTCTCAAACTTGTACCACTGATTTTTTATGATTTTTATTCACTTTTATCTGATATATAAAGCCAGTTTCAACAAGTGGTTTCCATTTCTTAACATACAAACTCCAGGGCACTATGTAAACTTTTTGAAGTCACTACCCCACTAAGTGACTATAGTAGGTCACTATACTAGAGCTTGTCACACAGAAATTTTTCTGCTAATAAAAGATGTATTATTTTTCAAGACTTATCAACTACAAATATACTTATAAAACTATTTAAATGTTAAAGACCTAAATATTGTAAATAATTACTTAACAATATTTAATTTATTTAATAATCATTTGATTAGGTTAAATATTGTAAGTATAATGTATATGTATCCAAAGATGCTTTGGACTGAAATGATGATGTGACTGTAGAGTCTTCAGACAACAAGCTGAGCAGTGTATCTATGCTTATCTGTAGAGAAGAAAATAATTTGTTTCCTTTTCTGCCTTTGGAAATAAGTATTTTAAGTATGCTGAGTTTGAAAAATTAATATTGTTTTTCTGTGCAAAAGCAACAAATTAAATGTGTGAGTATATCAAAAAATTGAAAATAAATCAGGTACCCAGTATTAAGCCACTGGCCTTATTGGACTAGTATGTCATGTCAGCTATTAGTCTGAATGCAGTTCTTACTTGTTCTGGGACACCAGGCTATTGTTAATGTTAAGCCCCCCTGTTTCTCTTTTTGTGTGACTACTTTACTGCATTGTGTTCTATAGGCTGTAAATGTAGCCTAGAATCAAATAAAAGCCACTTTAAGAACTCAAATGAATGAGTAAAGTTAACTAATGGTTAAATCAAACACTAACATATTTTACACAATTCTTAATTAGGTTTAAATATAGTATCGTGTTTACTTGTAGCTCATTTAGTGTCAGTAATAATACTTGAAAGGAAGCTACAAACTTATTATTCATTATTTATTCCTGTTGGAGATTCATGTAATTTTTTCTCTTACAAACATCAAAACCAACAAGTTGTGTACTTATCACATAAATAATCAGCAGTTAAATTTGTTAAGTTAGAACTGCCATAACTTCTGGCATGTGAAACTGATATTTGGGATAGGTTGGTTTCAAAATGCTTACTCTCTGCAGGGAAGGAACTTAAAGGCTAGTTATGAATGCTTTTATTGAAATTAACTTTTGGTTATGTGTTAAATACTGAAGTTTTAGATGTGATGAATTTTTATAATTACACTGTTGTAAGTATTATCAGAATATAAAATATGCATTTTGAGCATATCTGATAAGATCAGAGCTTTATTTAGCATGGGAGGTACTGAATGTTTTATTATCTCTATGTATTTTGTAAATGGTGATATCTATCTTTTTGATAGGGTTTATTGATATTTTCCATTTTTGATTTGTATGCTGCTATCATGTCTTATACAGAATGTTGAAGTCCATGTTGTTGACATGTCAGAACCTAAACAAGTGTACAGATTTGCCAAAGACTTTGTTGAATCACACGATGTCCTTAATGTTTTGGTAAGTATTTTAGGTTTTCAATGCCTTTCCTTGCACTAAGTAAATTTGTTAAATGCACCCACACTTAAAATGATTAAAAAAATTATACCTTAAATTTTTCTCCACTTATGTATTCTTGTAACAAAAAGTGAAATTTTATCCACATTAATGAAATGCATGAATGGGAAGCAGAAAGTAAGCTGGAGGATGTATTATTGTAGGGTAATTTTTATATTTTTTTATTCAGTTTATGTGTAATTTATAATTTTGTGGCTTGTATTATATACTCTTACATATGCTTTATTTTGAGTACATCTGTAAGTTTGTAGAAGTGACATGCAAAAAAAATATTTATTGTTTTCTGTTATTTAAGAAAGGAGAAACTAAATAAACATTACATATTTTTTGTAGCTTATTTCTGTGTAGTTGCTAACTCACATTATAAGTATGAAAATATATATGTTAATAATCATGTACTAGTTTCAAAATGAGCTAGTGTAAAATTAAGTAAACTATCATCTTTGTTAGGTTTGATTTAAACATGAATGTTATAACTAATTTCTGAATTGTGACAATTTTTGCATTAGTTTTGTACATGTTAAAAACCAAGCATTAATTTTTTCAGGTCAACAATGCAGGGTGTATGATCAATGAGAGAGAATTAAATTCAGATGGAATTGAAAAGAATTTTGCTGTAAACACTTTAAGTATGAAAACCTTATTTTATTTTTTAGCTTATTCTTATAGTGTGTATCTAGTTAAGTAACAACAAATAATAATTTATTTGTATCTATTATGAAATTCTTTGCATGAATAGAATCTAATTAACCTGCACGTGTATGTGCTGTTTTAGGGTTTTTAAAAACAGATTTATGCAGATTTATGTTATTGAAATTACAACTTGTTTATTTATTAATTTTTATATAATAAAAAAGAGATAAAAACCAATCTAATAAAAATAAGCAAAAACAAGTCATGTATGTGAAATTTCTCAGGTTTAAGAGACATATCCAAGTTTGGTTAATCAGAAAATTTGTGTTTTAGCAAAATATTTTAAAACATTTCCAGAAGTGCTACAATAATTTATACTAAAATTAACACAATAATCAGTTCAAATTCTCCATGTAAATAGATTCCACAGAAATGTGCATGTGTAATGTTTCTTCTTTTATAATACTAGAATGTCAACATTAACAAAGATTAATTTCTGTTATTATTGCCTCTGTATAGATTTTTATTATTTACATGAAGAAACATAATTATAAAGAAAGAATGAAAAAACAGAAAGAAAGAAAAGTTTGCATAAAAACCTTTTATTTTGACTTCAGTTGTCAGAAGCTCCAGAATTAATTTTCAGAAGAGATAGACATCTTGAACTTATTCTTGACTTGTAGGCACATATTTATCTTACACATATGAGTGAAGTCAATTGGATTGACCTTGTAACCACTATATAATTATATATATACTATAACTCTGAATGTACTAAATGTATCTTCATGAAATTTGGCAAGCTTTTAGTCAACATTACAAGTCTGTTGTACACAAAAAATCTGATATTTTCAATAAAGTATTTTTTTTTATTAAAGATTTGTTTGTGAATTTACAAAGTATTTATGGAGTCAGTCTGAGGGAAAGATGATCTTCATGCTAAGAATAAAAAGTGCTTCTTTTAATCTTACAGTTTTATTTTTCATTTGTGTAACCTCTAGAACCTCCTTAATGAATATCAAACATTTGTAGCAATGTCTTTGATCAACCCATGTCAAACTCTCACAGCAAAATATTGGCTTTTATTGCTAAAAGATCAGACAGTCATCTTTTTGTTATATAGTTTAGAATTTGCTCTTTCTGTTGGTTATAAACATGTTTAATAGCAATGTCAAAGAGAATTATACACATCTTAAAAAATAGAGGGGTGGGACAATGTTATTTGAACAAATATAGTGATATCTCAGCAAAGCAATAAGATAAAAAGGTTGAAATTGTAAATTTTGGCTTCTCACTAAATGTATTATGTATTTCTAACTGGCTGAACAATCTGAAACCTTTATATGCAAAGAGAAACATTCTATAAATGAGAAGTCAGAGTGGTCCCAGCATCGTGTGACTCAGAGGTGCAGATTAAGAATTTATTCAAATATATCATTTTTAAAGTAAAAAATACAAATTTAGGTAATGTAAAAATGTGAATTATAAATTACCTTTTGATGCTAAGCCCAACAATCGATCTAGTGCATAAATAGTATAGAAAATTTTGTTTAAATAAAACAGTGGTGCCCAACTTTTAATGTAAGTCTTGTTGCTTTTTAACTATATATCACAAATGTACGACATGACAGACTTTTGTATAGAGCAGTTGCTATGAGTTATGAATCACCTGTTAAATTTTTTTTGGTTAATTTCCAAAAAATTCATTGTTGACTAAAATGAATTAAAAGGAAAAATAAGTTAAGAGTTTATTTATTTCCAAATAGCTTTTTAGCCTTTATAGATAAGGTTTAGCAATGTGACTGTCATTTTCATACTTGAGGTTGAGTACATTATATTATAATGATGTTAGAGCCTTACCATACCAATGCAGTCCATTTTGGCACACTTCTTCATGCTCTGTATGAAGACTTTTTATCTTTACAACAGCCTTGCAGTTTAGTTCTGTTACAAAAGTCTCCTTTGTAACATTGTCATGTCTAAAGCACACCCTTCCTCCCTGCTGGTTTCCATAACATATCTAATGTATGAAGACATTGTTTCCCAATGCCTGTTTTAACACACTGGTCATACAGAAATCCATAGCCATTTCATTTGATGACTTAACTATATACCTTCGTATGGAATAAAATTAATATGTTTCATTCTCCAGCTGTTTGATGTATGTGACATGGAAGCAACTTGTGTTACTTTTCCAGATGGACAAACTTTTTGATTATTTTGTGTACTGTTGTCTTGGGTATGTAGATAGCTTTTGTCACTGATCTATGCATTTGTGGATTCTCACATGTTACAAGATGCTACACTTTGCTAATTACAACTGAGATACTACTTGGTGCAGGCCCTTTTTGGATGATCCATATCCCATTGTTTTCCAATGCCATTGAGTATGAGGGATATCACCTTAATAGAAATTCTAAAACCTCATGTCTTTATAGTCAGAATATTTATGAACATTTTTTGTTGGAAAAAAGACTGTTACATACCCTTCTCAAAAGTGGTCAGTTTCTCACTATCTACAAAACAGCAAATAATGTTAAAATGTAGTTTTAATGAATGACCTTATATCAGTTGTGACTTGCTAATTTCTAATTAAAATTTCAACTTGCTAATTAAATATTATTTTAATATACTGTATTTAACCCTGATTATGAAGAAGTCAGCTGTACAAGTTGATTCTCATTAGCTTATTTTTTGCTGCAGTAAATCAATTTAAAGGATGGTGTATACACTTGAGAACTTTTGTGCAGTTATGTATTTCAAATAGATTCTGTAGTATTTAATTCAAAAACAGAAGTTATTTAACATAAAATATGTTCCTCTTATGTTATTATGCAAACAGAAAATGTTTTAGAAATAATTGGTGATATAACTTTGTCCCTTTACTTTCTAAGGTAGTTTAGATTTGTAACAATGTTGTCCATAACTCGCGAAGTTATTTCTTTTTAGTTCTGATATATGAAGTTAACTTTGGGAGCTACTCATAATTAAGAAGAATTTGCATTTCTGATATCCAGCATTACATGTTTCTGCATTTCTAAAATACAAAATTGACCAGTAAAAATATGTTATCCTTGAAATTAAATGAACTGTGTTTTCTGCTTAGTCATCTTATTTTTACTGTTATTTTTAGGTGTCCATATTTTGACGACATTGCTTGTTCCCCTTTTGTCTAAAAGTGTGGAACCAAGAGTGGTAAGTAAAGTAACAATATCAAAATTAACCACTTTCTTATGCTTATAAATTGTTGTTTGCATACTCTAGTATTATATTAACATAATTTGCTTCCTTACTAAAAATGTTATATATATACACACACACACACACACACACACATTTGTAAGTAGTGTAACAGTATGCATCCTATATACACAGGGTTGTGAGTAGAGTAATAGTATGTTATATAACCCCTGTTTTCTAAAAGTGTGGAACCCAGGGTGGTACGTATAGTAACAGTATATATTATATATAGTTGAAACTAATATAAATATGTAGTATTGTTGGATATACAAGACGGTTTAGTGTAAGAGTTATTATTTAGTTCATTTAGTAATCTAATATTTAATGATTATTTAGTTTTTATAACAAGAGTGTTAAAAATTGATTATTTTAAAGATGATAGTTATAACAAATTTTGTTATGTAACTCAGTAGGAGTCATATGTAGTGTGTAGTTCAATTGTGGTAGTATTGTTGACATCATCTTTCTTGAAACCTCTAAGTTGTTCTCGCCATGTGAGTGTTATTACATCATAGCATCTCGTAATGTGTAGAAAGTTCTATGCCTCAGTTGGGCGGTGTATATATAGGCAACCAAGTGAGTGCAAGTCAAGAAAAAAGTTAGTTAGTGAAAGAAAACATGAAGTTAGCCAGCGTGTGTGTGATTAGCCTTAATGGGTGATTTCTATAGTGTGTTTCACAGCTGTAACAACAGAGATAGGAAAAACAATTTGTCTTTTCAGTTGGGTTCTAAAGCAACTGAATCAGCCTGTGTGGACTTTTGACAAAAAAAAAGACAATTATTTAAAGTTCTGGAATAAACTGTGGTAAGCTACAAAAGAAGTAAAGTGAAGTTAGTGAAAGTGAAGTTAGACTATGTGATTGTTAGTTTAGCCATAACAGACGTTATTTTGAAGTGAGTTTCACAGTTTAACAGAGATAAGTAGAATAATTTGTCTTGTCAAAGTAATTGAACCCATCTGTGTGGACTTTGATAAAAAAGAGACAATTATTTAAAATTCTGGGAGCAACTGTGGTAACCCATGGGGTAACGTAAGTGAATTTATTGCAGATAGTATAGTAAGAAACAGAGTAAAGGAAAATAACTCATCTTGTCAATTGGATTCTAAAATACTTGAATCAGCCTGTGTGGAGAATTATTTAGAGTTTTAGATAACTGTGATATCCTATAGTGTAAAGAATGTTTGTACATACATTTGAACTTGCTTTGAATATATTATTTTAAAACAGTTGGATTGTGTGCTGTTCATTTATTATTCAAATTGATTGCTAACAAGTCACAGAAGCCTACTGTAAAAAAATCCCAGCCCAAACATAAATAAACCCTCAACAGGTATTTATCTAACAGTATCTTATTTATAATAGGTTCTCTCTGTACTTTTTGTTTGTTTCTTTTAATTTAGAAATAAGTAAACTATTTCCAACAGCCCCATTGCTAATCTCTAAGATCATAGTGGGGTGAAGTGCAGTGTGAGACTTTAGTTTCTTCAGATTATCATTGGGAGTGATTTTAAGGTGAAAATCAACTTACAAAGTGATGACTTCAACAAAATAAACAAGCTTGGGAGCCAAAAGAATTGTTATTTTAATTGTATATAAAAATATAAAAAACTTCATTATTGTTGAATTATTTGAAGGTGTGATCAAAAAAGGCTTCTCATGTAATAACTAAAAGTTTAGAAGTTTATAATCCTTGTAAGGAAGAAAGGATTTCTATGGTAAATAGATTGCAAGGAAGAAAATAAGCACAGTTTTTAGACAATGTACTTATGATTTTTAAGCTTTAAAAAATTAGGAAATTGTAAAACAAAATGGAAAAGTACAGTTAGTTGAATTTATATTTTTTGAAACCACCAACTTTAAAAAATTCACCATTCCATTTTCAAAGTGTTTGAGCTAGAAATAAGCAACAAAAAATATACAAAGACCATAGATTTGCAGTTATGTTTCATATGGTGACAAGTTTCATCCATGAAGGTAGGCAAGAAGTTTAAATATTTCTACTACAGTTGGAGGACAAAAATTAAAATTAGATTATCAGTTTATTACTTTATCCAAAACTAATGTTAATAAAATTGATATCTAAATAAAATTCTAAATATAAACATTTTATTTATATACTATCTTACCAAAAGTCATGGGACACGCCTCTGATTGAAGGAAAATGGGTGTGACGACGAAATGTGCAAATAGTTTGGCCTATAAAGGTGATCAGCAGTTTGCTCGTAAGTCATTTCAAACTTGTACACCAAATGATGAATACAAATAATGAATACAAGTTATTTCAAACTTGTACACCAAATGATGAATACAAGTAAACAGCTAACAGAGTGAAGGAGAGTTGGATGTCATTGGGGAAAATGTCTGTACGTGCTATTACGCAACAATTAAACATTCCCTGGCATGGCCAGGTGGTTAGGGAGCTCTACTCGCAATCCGTGGGTCGCGGGTTCGAATACCCATCCCACCAAACGTGCTTGCCCTTTCAGCCATGGGGGCATTATAATGTGATGGTCAATCCCACTACTCGCTGGTAACAGAGTAGCCCAAGAGTTGGCGGTGGGTGGTGATGACTAGCTGCCTTCCTTCTAGTCTTACACTGCTAAATTAGGGATGGCTAGCACAGATATCCCTTGTTTACTTAGAGCGAAATTAAAAAAACAACAACAAATAAACATTCCCAGGTACCAGCCCTTACACCTTCCAATATAATAACACTCCATGTCACAAAAAAAGGATTATGAATACGTGGTTTGAATAGAATAACATTGGAACATTGCAGTGGCCAGCACAGAATTCTGACATCAACCCAATGAACATCTTTGGGATGAATGCAGAATTAGGGCAAGACCAAAATGGCCCCCTTCAGTAGTGGAGCTTACTAATGCTTTAAAGGAGGAGTGGAGCACAATACAACCAGCTTTCTACCAGAAACTAGTAGACAGTTTTCCACAATGCATTAAAGCAGTCATTAAGGCCAAAGGTGGGACAACATTCCATGACTTTTGGTAGGATAGTTTAAGTTTTTTATTATGGAGGCAATTGCGAGATCAGAGATTAGATAATTTTTAAAAGTTAATTATGTCATTTTTCCCTACAACAATCAAGATACTGGGGTGGAAAGGGCATTTCCACTTATACTATAGAATACAGATTTGATAAAGTTAAAATATGTAGTGTTTTGCAGATTTCAGAATTGCAGATAATTGAACCTAAATTTGGTGCTTCTGCTGTAGTAAATAATAAAAAGACCTATTGGGTTACATGATCTAACAAGAGAAAGCAATCCATATTAATGTTGTTTTGGCATCATTAACAAGCATTGCACGGAAAGTACCACTGATATATGATATAAACTTGCAGATCATTGAAAAGACATGTTTTTTAATTTATTTTTCATCATACAATAAATAAATTTGATTCTTAAGTTGACCATTTTTCCTGATTGCTGACACTTTTTGTTTGGAAGGTTACAGTATCTTCTGGTGGAATGTTAGTACAGAAACTTAATGTTAATGATCTACAGTTCCAATCAATGATTCCTTTTGACGGCACAATGGCCTATGCTCAGAACAAACGTCAGCAGGTAATCATGACAGAAAAATATGCAGAGAAATATCCAGGTGTACATTTTTCATGTATGCATCCTGGGTGGGCTGATACACCAGGTATGGATGAGATGTTAATATATATAATAGAAACGTTTTCATAAATTCTATGGAAATATACTAATTATAACACCTGAAGGTTTTTTTTATAACATTAATGTTGAGATACTGTAATAAAAATGTTTGTTTCTTTTTGATTATTATGACATCAATTCCATGTTAAAAAATTGTTTCTGAAGTATTAGTAATAATTTCCTTTTCAGTTATTTGGATATCAACTCCAGGAAATATGCATTTTATTCGAGCTTGAATGTTTTTTCTTTCTTTATCACCCGGAGTAAAGTATGTTGTTAGAATAGAACTGCGTGTCTCTGCAGTAGCTTAGTTTGCCACAGATACTACCACTGAAAAGTTTAAGTTAATCTATCAATTTAAATTATTTCTTGGTTTCACTCAGAGCCAAAGCTACTGATACCACCCATCGCAAAAAGTAATTGTTGAGCATTTAATTCATGCTAAGAGCTGCTAAACAATAACATACGGTATATATAAGTTATGTCTCATTTTGAAATGGAAATGATAGTGTGATTAATTTCTAACAGTTTAGTGTAGAATATCTTGCTTGTGAAATAAAGTTTGGCATCAACATTATTCGTGCCTGTTTTTCCCATCATTTAAAAAGTGAATGTTGAGATTAGCCTGCATGCACAGCTTTTCAAAGGGGGAGACAGTCATGGTTCTCAATACATATATATATATATATGCTTTGTGCATTACTTAACAGATAAAACTACTGATGCAGTGTACGCAGTCACAATTTTTGACCTAAAATGTATAAAGTATGTTTATACCAAATAACCTGAAAAACAAATGTGCTTAATATGAGGGGAAAATTACAATGTTCTAAGGGACTCATTGATGACTGGTATTTGTTATGGTAGTTTAAATAATTTTGTATGTACATTACAAAATTATTGTATTTTCTTAACATAGTTTGGTTAGGTCAACTGTAGTTTAAACCACTAATTCAACATCTGAAGAGGAATTATAGTTATTATAGGTGGGCTGAATAACACAAATATTGATTTTATTTACATTTTAAAATTTATATAATGCTGACTGAAGCATAGTACACGCAATACAAATATATAAAAATGCCATGAACCTGTAAGATTCTGTGGAGTTCACAGTCATTTTATATATTTGTAATTATTAATTTTCTTACTTCCCTTATTTACTTAACATGCAATTACTACTAGAATATGAATCTGTTGTTCCCATGTTAGGTGTAGAAATATTAGAACCATTTTTTATATGCGATACAGTACATGTTCTTGTGAAACAAGTTTTTGCTATTATTTCAAGTTAAAACTAGTTCCCCCAAGAATATAGAAGATTGGCTCACAGAATAATGGGGGATTTGACCAGGAAATATACCACAATGACTGTTGGATATACAAGACTATTTAAATTAAGAGTTATTATTTATTTAGTGATTTAATATTTAATGATTATTTAGTTTTTCATAACAAGAGTGTTAAAAGTTAATTCTTTTAAAAGCGATAATTATGACAAGTTTGGTTACGTAGCTCTGTACAAGTTTTCAGTTATGTATGCAGTTTAATTGTTGTACTAGGCTTTTCTAATATTGTTGACATCATCTTACTCGAAGCTTAAAAGTTTTTCTCGTTGTGTGTAATATTGTTGCCACTAGAGGGCTACATATTTCTGTTGTGAGTTATAAATATGTGCAGATACAGAATGCAAGTAAGAAAGCAAGCAAAGAGAGAGATAATTAGACAGATCTAGACTGAGTGATTGTCAGTTTAGCTGTGATGGGCAATTTCTGAAGTAAGAAAGTTAAGTTAGTGAAAGTAAGTTAGACTGCTTGTTTGTCAGTTTAGCTGTAATGGTTGAGTTATTGAAGTGAAAGTTTCACAGTTTGTATTATAAAAACAGAGATAGAGAAGAAGAATTTGGCTTGTCATTTGGGTTCTAAAATAACTGAAGCATCCTGTGTGGACTTTTGATGTATAAGAGAATTATTTAAAGCTCTAGGTACAACAGTGGTAACCCACGGGATAGTGAAAGTGAATTTATCACTGATTGTATTGTGATAACAGAAAAGAGAGAGAAAAAATTTGTTTTGTCAGTTAGATTCTAAAGTAATTAAACCAGCCTGTGTGAATTTTTGATGAAAAAGATAATTATTTAAAGATCTAGATTCCACTGTGGTAAACAATAGTGTAATGAATTTTTGAACATACCTTTGACTTTTTTTGAATATACACTAAGTGGTCACAAGTAAACATACACCTATTGTTTC